GATTTTAAAAAATGTAATGACACATTTGTTTTAAAGTAATATTACTCTTATTTTGAATATGTTGTGCTTGGKTGATGTTAGGCATTAGACTTAATGTACTTCCATGTCTCAGATCAAAATGCTCTGACATATTCTTGTGCGGAAGYGGAAAGATGAACATCTGAGTCATGATACCATCATCACTATACATCAAAGGGATTTATTCCTTGAATGTGCTGCTTGATCTTACTTTTCATCATACCCAACTCTTGTTTCATAGAGAGCTTGCTGGGACGTTTGCYCATTTGTGTCAGCAAGTGGATGTCACACGGGAGAATCTTGAGCAAGAAATTTCTGCCATGAATAAAAAAATCGAAGTTTTGGATTCACTGCAGAGCAAAGCAAAACTGCTGAGGTGAGATTTGATTATTCCATACAATKGTTTTTCATGTGATTGCCTCAGGATGTTGATATGAGCTGTAGCTTAGAGTTCATTTTGTGTTCGCCATAGCACTTGATGTGCAGCACTTTTTCCTACCAAGTCATGTTCCCTTTCACTAGGTACTTTCCCATGGACTGTCAACAGTCATTTAAAGCTTCTGTCTTACAAAGCACCTTTTTCTTCTTGTTTTTWATTTGTTTGAAATTACATTTCCTTCCCATTTATCAAAACATGCAGTCTTCCACACCCACAAACTCCTTCAGGCCCTTATAAAAAGTCTTGCCTTCACCTTTGTATCCAGCTGTCTGCTGCTTTCTTTACCCTGCAAAGGCTATTGGGAAGACTCTTTCAAACATTCCTTACCTACACAGTAAGACCAATGTCCAAGATCTCTGAACCTCAAAGGCTAGGGACTGACAGCAGGCAGGCATTCCTGACCTGCAAGGAATGGCATCAGCCTTTTGGCATGGACCTCTGGCACTCCATGCCTTGCTGTGTACTCGTTTTAGTCATGCTTCTTTCTGACTGGCTTGAGAAGAGCTGTTTCATTCACCTAACAAAACTTTCTGTCCTTGCAGGAACAAAGCAGGTTGGCTTGACAGTGAGCTCAACATGTTCACACATCAGTACCTGCAGCAAAGCAGATAATGTGGGAAGACGAGACAAACAACAGTTTCCCTTCAGTGCTCTCTTAATTACTGCAGAGAAYGTGGTGGGTGATGGAATTCCCTAAAGGGAATGAGCAAGAGCCTATTGCTATGTTTCCAGTTGCTGTGTGAACAATAGGATTCTGCTTCCCTGTCCTGTGTCCCACCTCGAAACACTAGCTGTTAATAACTCTTCTTTCTCCTTGTGAGACCAGGCTACTTCAGGAGGAATGTGTGCTTTATACATTTACAGGGGGCTTTTTCTGCACTTCATTTTGCTTTAAATGAATTTAAAGCAATCAAGCAAATGTTTATCAGGTTAAAAGTTATTCTGACACATCTTTATGGAGTCATTTGTTTTACTTCTTAAAAACACAATTTTTGACTTCCAAGCCCCAGGTTGATGTATGTGTGACAAGCAGCATTTGACTAAACACAGATGCCGTGCACACAGATGTGAGGGAGGTTTCACAAAGCATTTATAGCCCACGCAGGCCTGTCTTCTAGGTTAATATTCTGTTATTCTAGAACATAACAGAGAATCACAATGCCCCTTCAYAGAAAGTTTTGTTGCTGTCAGTATGCTTAAATCTATGAACAAAACCCAGTTCTCTTCTGGAGCAAGAGGGACTAAGATTTGGCTTTGGTAAGCTTAGTTTGGAGTTAGTTTCTTCCTYTTAAGAGCTCTGTAATAACACAATCTGGCCATTTCCTGCTGTGGAAAAATAGTTTGCAAAGATTAAACTAATTCCTGTGAAAGTGMKGATAATTTGTCAKCTTGTTGAAGAAGAAAACTAGGAAAGAGAAGCCAGTTAACACAATGTAATGCACTGCCTTATGAGCTCAGTTGATGAATGTGGATTTTCTTTGGAAAAGCACAGCTGTGTTTCTGGAAGCAGGCCTGTGGAATTCCATTACCACTATTTGGCCACAAGAACAGCATGTGGATTACACGCTGTAAGAGATTTTGCTTCATGTAGAGTTCCCACAGGATGTTACAGTCTGAGCAGCAACAGGATTTGTTAAGTTTCTCTCCTGTTAAAAGTATCAGAACATGCAGGCAAGTACAACTCCTCTGGGGTGGGGGGACTTGTGACCCTTGTAGTTTATACCAGGGCAAGCATGTGTTAAAGCACCTTATTTTTTTCAAGACATTCTGTATTTGCAAATACATTAAATKAATTGTTGAGTTTTGCCCTGATGCRGGTTTTGAATTTGGAATATAATATTTGGGATTTGAATAGTCTTGAGTCTCTTCCTATTGGAATTGATATTGAAGGAATTCTCAATGATTTTAGGAGGAGTAGGATTAGGTTTCTCTGTTGCAAGCTTATTTTCTCTTTGTGGGTCCGTATTTTGCCATTTGTTGGTTATAGCCTTTCTGTTGGCTACAAAATGTCTGAGGAATCTAGAACCAATCCTGCAGTTCTGTAGTTAGTGACAACCAAATCTTTTCAGCATCACACAGAGAGAATACAGGCTGTCTTTGAGAAGGTCCCAGCTKAATTCAGAACTACTGAGCAGTGGGGTGGTTTTCTTATTGACAGAGACTTTTCCCTTGAAAATGGCTTTAGGATTTCTCATTCCTGCTCASGTGTGAATATATGTGCCTGTGACAAGTCCCATGTTTTTCATATCATGCAAGTTCCAGAAAGAAGCTGCCTGCTGCTTGAGGGAATAAAAATAGTAAAATGTCAGTAAGTACTTCTTAGGTAAGGCTTTCTGAGATTTGCACTAAGACTTGAAGTATCTTTATTGTGTAGGAGGTAGTGGTGAGACACTTAAATCCCCAGAATGCAGAAAGGAAACAAATCTTTCCCTTCCAGTAGACAGGAACTTTGACTCCATCTCAAACTGAAAAGCTATTTTCATCAGAAGGTTTCTTTGATCTTGATTGAGTTCCTCAGGCWGCCACCAGGATGTGAGTATAGATTTGATCAAATCTGAGAATGAGCAAGAAAGAAATTCGAGTTTTTGCTTCTGGAAGTGTGTTCTCTGGGCTTGTGGTGAAGTATATTGGAGTAAGTGGAATCAYCTACTGTCACTCTGCTGCAGGTCTTAGTGAACAAATTTGAATCTTCAGTCTCTCAAGCTGTCACATACACAGTTACAATAAGTTTTGTTGTGTTCTATGAGTTAAAATATTAAACTCATCCCTAATACACAAGGATATTGTCAATTCCAGGTTGAGGCAGAGGATGATGTACTACTGCTCAGCAGCTCATGGCTTGAATGATGACCTTCCTTTAGAAGAGGTAGTGTTGGCATCTTTTCAGTGGCCCTTTAGGGAAAATCTGAGCTGATCTTTAAGCCGGTGTCTTATCTGTGAAGGGAAAAGAGATTGATGGGTTCCTAGAACTCAGTGTCTTGCTGCTGTGTGTTTGTGTGTGTGTGTGTGTGTGTGTGTGTGTGTGTGTGTGTGTGATGCTGCTTAGGCTCAGGTGCTGTCACTGCAGAGCTGAAACCTAACCTACAGAATGGGGGGAAGAGCCACTTGAATTTTTTCAGAAGCAAAGCTGCTAACGTGTGGGGTGGGATGTGTAACCCTTGTCCATGGAAGCCTGAATGATTGAGAATCAGACTTTTAACAGACAGGCCTATAAGCTGGAATCCTCCAAAACAAATTACAGCTGTACTTCTTTAACTGAGAGTGGTGGAGGAATGAACACTATCAGGAAGAGGTTGTTCTCTTCTGGTTTTCTTAAAGAATGCTGAACTAATCATTCAAACAGGTAATTCCAAAAACAGTCTTCCCCACCTACCATTAAAGAAAGTCAGCTAAATGCACTTTTATCTTACTGCTGCTACTTACTTTTCCTGTTGCGTTACACTGATGGAGCTCTTCAAAATACTCTTACCAGTGAGTTTTCTCTCTGCTGTATTTAAGGTGATGAATTTGCATGAGTTAGTTCTGTAACAGTGCTGTAAACAATGGAAACCAAAATAAAAATGAATTGGAAAAACATTTCTCCTGATGTGTCCTGCATGTTGCGAAACATGACTGTGAAACAGTCTTCCAGTGCAAGTATATCAGCCTACATCATCAGGATGTATAGCTTTGCTGCGTTGTGGTATTGAAATGCATGTTTGACACTGTTGAGCTTTTTCTGTGTTCTTATTTTGAAAATTAACAAGGCGACCAATGATACTGAATTGTCTGATAGTGATCATTTTAGT